TATTTATTCTTTAACATGTATCTTGTGTATGAATTCCTTTAGTTTCTCTTATATTGGATACTATCATCTAAAATAAAGACAATTCCTTTTGCTTTTCCAGTTGTTTGGGTTTTTTTTAGTCTTTTCGTTATTATTGCTAGGCTAGAATCTAACAGATTGTTGAATAGAAGTAGGAAAGCAGACATCCTCGTGCTGTTCACTCACCTTAGGGGAAGAGGTTTTAGTTTTCCCTGCTGAGTATAATGTTAGGCTGTGGGCTTTTTATAATCCTTTTTATATTTTGATGAAGTTTGACTTCTGGCCCTAGTATTGTTGAGTGTTTCATAATGAAGATGTGTTGGTTATGTTTCAAATGCACTTCTATATAATTCACATGTTTTTTTTTTTATTCTGTTAATGTGTTGTTATTAATTATGATTGATCTTATATTTCACCACCCTTGCATTTCTGGAATCAAATCGATTTGGTCATTATGTATGATTCTTCTCCAATATTTTTTTTAAAATTTATTTTCAGTATTATGGGGTACAAATGATTGTTAAGGTACATATATGCCTCTTGCCACCCCAACCCCAGTCAGAGTCAAGCGTGTCCTCCTCCAGGTGGTGCACATCACTCTCATTATGTAAGTATACACCCATCCCTCCTCCCCGTCTCCCCGCTGCCCAGCACTCAATATTTTTTTTTGGATATTTTGGTTACAGTGTTGTATATCTTTGGAAGGGTTAGCAGGTATGCCTTCCCCTCCACAATACTCACCACTCCCTGACAGTGTGGGGTCTACCCCCACCTTGTTGAATTTGTTTGGAAATTATTTCGTTGAGGATTTTTAAAACATATTAATTACATGAATATTGATCGATTAGTTTTCTATCTTGTGATGGTCTTTTTCTAGCTTTAGTATCGAGTAATTGGCTGGCCTTATAGAATGAGTTATGAGAGTGGTCCCTGCCGTCCTTCGTTTTGGGCGGAATATTTGAGAAAGACTGATTGTTTGTTCTTTCTTAGATATTGATATTAACAGTAAAGACCTCTGGTCCTGAGGTTTCTTTTGGAGGTTTTGGACTGTTTCATTCAGTCTCTTTATTTGTTCATATCTTTTTGATTAGTTTTGTAGTTTGTGTGTTTTGAGGTTTGTAAAATTTGTTTTCCTATATATTTAATTTGTTAGTGAACAGTTATCATAATTTCTTCGATTTTAAAACCTGCCAATATCTTCGAATTTTTTATGATTTAGCGAATTTGATCTTTTTTCTTTTCTTGTTTAAAGATTTTTCATTTTGCTGA